CCAGTGGTTCTTAACCTTCCTAATGTTACGACCCTTTCATACCATTCCTCATGTGATGGTGATCCCCCAACCATAAAATTACTTTTGTTGCTGCTTCATAACTTTCATTTTGCCACTGTTATGAATTGGGTGACCCCTGTGAAATCGTCGTCGGACCCCCAAAGGGATCGTGACCCACAGGTTGAGAACCGCTGTAAATCTAGCTCCTTTCATCACCCTATATATACCTACCTTCTATACCTCTGTTGATGGGTGCTCACCCAGCACGGTGGTCTCTTATCTCCCTTCTTATTCTTCCCCAATTCATGATGTTCCAGTGAATTCTCCAACCAATAGCGAGCTTAAAATAAGTGTAGCAGAGTTTTGTGGACTCTGCATTGGTCACTGTTATAACCTTCCATGTCTTCTCGCTAATTAGGTTTTAATCTATTTACAAGTCAAGGGATATGTTTTATATTTTCTTAGCATTAGTAAACACCACAATCAGTATATAATACCTAGAACCATTGTTAGCGCTCCATAAATATTTACTGGTTGGTTGAAGCGATCAAACCTGTCCAAAAGACAGCATGCTTTTATCTCTGTTCCATTCTGTGGCTAGCCTCGCTTCAGGACAAAAGCTTGAGTTCAAATGGTCTTCTCTTCGGCTTTGGCCATTCTCTAAACTACAGAGCAAACAAGAGGCCTGTTTCTCTTGAAGCTCACAAAAACTCAGAGTAGCTATTTGCACTTTCTTGTCTTATCAGCCCAGATGTCTTGACGTTATCTTATAGGCCAATGTAATGGACATCCTCTGTCATTTTCTTTCTTATTTTTTCCACGAACAATTTTCATTTTATTTCCTTTCAGGTTTGTTTTTCTTCAGCTTCTAATCTTTACGTAGGCTTTGGAGGAGGTCGTGGGGCAGCACCTGCAGGTCTAAACCGAGGTGGGGGGGTTCGGTCCTTCTGGGCTTCATGTGACCGGTTCCTGACCACCTTGCTGTGAATGGCACAACTCACACAGTCATGCAGCTTCACGTACAGCTTGGGAAGCGGGTATGCGTCAAAGACACTCACTTCGGAAATGTCTCTGACGGCCGCAGCTCCACTATGTTTCTTATGACGAACTTCTTAATGGCCTTGTCTTTGGGCACGCAGCGGGTGCAGTTCGTGCAGCGGATGGGCTGCACATGGCCGTGGCCTTTCTTGGCACGGCCGTTGTTTCGCCTTTTTTTGTCATCTCGGAAGCGGGAACGCAAGAGAAAAAGCCCTCTGTCATTTTCTGATGGTCTGTTTGCACATTCAGCTTGCAAGCAGTTTACTCAGACGCGAGAACACAATCTTGCAATTTAGGGATTCTGCCACCAGATGGGGACGGGGCATCTTGCTCAAGGTTACACAATCCAGATGGCAAGACATCTACCAAAGGCTCGTGGTTTAATACCGAGGCTTATAGAATCGGTTGCAAATTCAAAATTCAAAAGAATTCTTTGGTACCTTTGCAATGTCTCCTTAACTACTGTTTATCACAGCATGACTTTATGCGTTTCCCGTATAATCATTCCTCTCAGATAATCATTCATCATTCCCCTCTCCTTTGGTATCTCAAAGTCAAACAGCCCTTGGACTAAACAAACAAACCTGTTTTTCAGAACTACAGGTGTAAAGAAGTTTTAAGCAGCATTTTAATCAATTTCTAGCCTCTGCTAAATTCTTCCACTTTGGACACTCAGCCTGCCCAGTTTGATCACCCGAGGTGGACAGAGGAACCGTGCCCTGTGTTGCTCGGCTGCGTGGGCCAGAGGCAGGTCCTCTGGTGGGACGTGAGGGGGGGATGCTGCTCCTGAGAACTGGCCTTGGGTGCCACAGTGCCGTCCTGCCAGGCGCCATTCCTTTTTATTCGAAGGATGTTTCCTTTCTTCCGGTCCCGGGGTGGAGATGGGAGGCGCTGTGCACGTGTTCAGATAGTCACTCGCACTCACGCGAGGTCATCCTCTTTGAGGAGCTGCCAAATCCACCTCACGGCAGGTCTCTCTGATCTACGTAAACCTAGTGATGCTTCCGAGGACTGCGGCTTCCCACAGCGCCTCGTGAAACACGAGCAAAATCTCATCCTCAGAATCTCAGTCACTCCCTTTCTCCTTCCAAAGCAGGCAGGGAAAGCCTCCATATTGATTTTCTGAATTTAGGATAGCAAGAGACCAGAGAAGCAAATGTGACGACAATGCCCAACACACTTAAAATAGAATCGCAATGCCTGACGGTCCCAGTGATGTCATACCTCTGGGAGCCGCAGGTGGCACTGCACCGTCCTCTCCCACCAGCATCCGCCCATGCCCACTGGGCACCAGCTGGCAGATCCTTGGCTCACCCAGCTCTCTCCTGCCTCTATCGTTTCTCTCGGCCACCTTAGAAGCCTCAGCAAAAAGATCCCTTTCTCAGCCTACGCCGAGAACCCTTTTGAAAGCAGCCTTCCTTCCCTGCCCAGCCCCTCAACCCTGTGAATCTTCCATAGCCTCTGTGGCTACAGTCGTGCGGCTGGCGCAGGGCTGGGCAGTGTTTCCTGTTGGATCTAACACCTAACAGCCACAATCATCACTGCCGGGATTTACCAGAGTTACTCGTGTGATTACGTGTTCATTCCCTTTCTCCTCGCTCTCCGTTCGCACTAACATTGCCAACACCACAAAACAAAACACTGCACTGCCATTGAGTGGACTCCAACTCGTAGCAACTCTGTAACTGTGGGTTTCTGAAACAGTAAGCTTTCAGGGGAACAGAAAGCCTCATCGTTCTCTCTCGGAGTGGTGAATGGGTTCAAACCGCTCACCTTGTGGTTAGCCGCTCATCTTGTAACTACTATTCCTCCCAGGCTCCCTGGCCCATACTGAGGCTGTGCCAAACACAAAGCGAGCATTCCGGAACATTTGTGGGACAGCTTACACGGATTCAGATGTTCTCGTTCTTTCCCCACGGACCATGTGCTGAGTGACCCTGATTCGTTAATCAGAGAATTAGCATCTTGGAGATTTTTGTTCTGCCTTTACCTCTCTTCAATTCTGAGGAAGGTCCGTGTCGCCAATGAAAGCGCTTCAAGCTGGAAGCAATGGTGTGTGTGTGTGTGTGTGTGTTGGGGAGGATCATGAATGGAGAGTTCTCCTGACATCGAACCCTCATTGTCATATGATCCTTGTGAATGCCTACAGTCACACACAGGAGTGCGTATTATCCAGTGCATTTCTCCTGGAACCTTAGGCTCTGACTACCTGCAACTCTCCCTAAAGCACGGTGGCTTTAGGGCGACAACTCTGGGGACAGAGAGATCCACATCAGAATCTGGCTCTGTCACTTCCTAGTCCCCTGACCTTGGGCAAGCGGTTTCTTCCCAAAGGTCAGCTTCTTCATCCACGCACAATGGGGATGCGAGGAGCCCCGACCTTGTAGACTGGCTGTGGGATTGAGTGGAGAATCAAGGTCAAGGACTTGGGACAGTGCCCTGCACAGAACGCCACACGCACAGGAGCCGCTCTCTTCCCTCGCTAGCTTTTCTTCAGGGTTATTTTTACCAGCGGATGTCACTGTGAGCGCAGGGTGTCCTCGGAGTTCCGGAAAGCCAGTCGGTGCACAGTGCTCCTCCGAGAATGGGGCGTGTGGTCTGGGCAGGAGAAAGGGCCTCCTCCCACCTCCTCCAAAATCCAAACTCACAGCCACGAGGGCTTCAGACTCACTGTGACCCTCCAGGGCAGGGTAGAACTGCGGTTGTCTGCGGCAGCCGCTCTTCCCAGAAGCAGAAAGCCTCCTCTTTCTCTCCTGCCTCCCACCCGAGTGATTCCCACACGCCTACCTCTCCCTGGTCAGCTTGCGGCACGCAGGGACAGCTGTTACTGTGACAACCCCTTGGGGGTGGTATTGGAATGGAATGAATGGGGTTCTAGCCCCATCTCAGGTTAGCAGGGGTAATGGGGTGCAGAATGCCAGAAAACAAAAGATCAAGTAAGTCCCCCCAAGCAACAGACAGCAGAAGCTCACCGTCATCGGTTGATGTTAATTGGTCGTGACTCCAGAGCAGCGGTTCTCAATCTGTGGGTCGCGAGCCCTTTGGGGAGTCAAACGACCCTTTCACGGGGGGTCGCCGGATTCATAACAGTAGCAAATGACAGTGATGAAGTAGCAACGAAAATAATATTGTGGTTGGGGGCTCACCACCACATGAGGAACTGTATGAAAGGGTCGAGCCATTAGGAAGGTTGAGAACCACTGCTGTGGAGGACAGTGTAGGACGGCCTCTCTTGGGTTCTGGGGACTGTCCCGATTTATGGAGGTGGACTGCCTCAGCCTCATCTTCGCCCTCAGAGCTGCCAGTGGTTTCAAACTGCTGACCCGGTGGTTCACAACCCAGTGCACAGGGAAACCTGAAAAAGGTCTCTATGCGACTGCCCATCTCAAAGAGGGGTCTGAGGAGACAGCTCCCCTCCTCTTTAGCTTTGCCGCCTCTCCCAGGAGCTCAGTGACGCTAACGAGCTGTTATGAGTGACTGTAAAGGACTGTAGACCACACAGGCCAGCCTGTGCTTTAAACGCTGAAGTATAAAAAGCACTACCATGCATAAAACCATAGCATGGCTTATTAATCACCTGCAAATGTATCCTGGGCAAAAATAACTGAAAAAGAATGAAATCAACCAGGTGTCCATGCACGCTAAGGGACTCACAGGAAGAAGTTCTGGCAGCAAATGATCTTAGGCAGGCGAACGTCCTATTGCCTTGTGATTCAGACTCCCTGCGGGGAAAATGAGGACCGGGCAGCTTTTGCCAAGGGCCACAACCACAGAACTGGAATTCAGCTGAACGAAAGCTGGGCCTGACAGGACAGGATGCCATGCCCACCCGGCACGCTCCTGGAACAGGAGGGAATGGGATGTGTGTCCTGCTCAGGTGAGTGGGCGTGGCTCCTCCCTCTGCCACGCCAGCTGACTCTGCCCACAGGGAAAGAGGGGTGTGCCCCCCCAGGGAGGGTTACCTTCACAAACTGCACATCACTGAGGATGTGGACCGAGTAGTCGGGTGTGTAGAGGTTGTTGCTGCTGCTGTACAGCTGGGTGTTGCTCCCCCCACCATCGCTGCGCTCGCGGCTCGGAGACTCGCAGCGATTCAGCCCGCTGCAGCGGGAAGGGGACCGGTTGACTGCAGATGTTGAGCGGAAAGCCACGGGAGAGGAGATGAAGACGAGACAAAGAGGGGTGGGAGGGGAGGAAGAAAAGGGGGGCAGGAAGGAGAGAGAAAGAGAGGTACTGTTTACTGAGGCCCCGCTGGACCATGGAGGGTGGAGATGGCTCCTTGCCCTTCCCATTAGAGCTGTGGAAAAAGGGAGTTGGGCTGGCTATGTGGATAGTCCCCAGGAGGCGATATTTAAGCTAGGGACCCCGGGCACCGCTCTTCTTAGTTTTCTCCCACTCCCTAAACCACGGAGGGGTACAGAGGTGGTCCATTGCTGCTCTTGGCTCTGCGCTCGCAGGCAAACACCACCCCAGAGCAGAGAAGGATGGTGGTATCGTGAGCAGTGTCATTTGCAACACCAGACGTCATGACCCTCCATTTTGAGGCGCTATTTTCTAGAACCTCTATTTATGGATCTTAGTTTTTGAAAGATCAACCCTTAGGTTTGCCCTCAGAACGAGGATTCACAGCACGGCTAGCAGGCACCCCCACCCCCACCCCCCACCCCCACCCCCGGACACATTTTAGCTTGCCCCAACATTTGCCACGTCTGGGGCATGCAGACAAATGGAGGCCCACAAAACATGTGGACGCAGATTTAAAAGTCAAAAATATGTTAGGAAACTGTTAAAACATGCTTTTGGCTTGTCCTCGATTCATATCCCAGCGTAATCGCCTGGGAAACTGAGTTTGATTTCGACTCCCTTGAGTTCCGTCCAGCAAGCATGGCAGCATGTGGAGAGGCAGCCGCTGGCCTTCGGACCCCTCCTCCAGTCCTGGGTGGTCTGGGTGGGGATGTCCAGGGCCCTGGAGGTCTGAAATGGGGCCTAGAAGGCATAGGTTCTGTTTGGGCACAAACCTTGGCCTTGTAGACTCCTGGCCCCTGGAGTAGTGCATACCTGAGGTGGGCCCAAGTGGGAATGTCCAAAGGGTGGGCCAGCTCAGGGCTCCTTCTGGCTTATTAGGTCAGAGGGAGGAACTGGAATGCCCTGCAGGCCTTCTGTCCGAATGCCTTCTCCGCGCTCAGCGTCAGGTGGTTTTTCCGTTTTTAAGGTCCCACATTAAGTGAAAAAACACTTTTGGGGAAAGTTCAATCAGGACCAGGACTGTGCCGACTGGATCAATAGAAGAGGGCATCCTGGCACTTAATCAACCACAGAATAACTTGACCGGCGAGCCTGCAGAGTGTCCAGTCTCTCTGCCTTCCAGCTGTTCCCACTCCGCATTTCTTCCCCCAGAGGGCTAGGACGCTGCCCGCCTGCATAACACAGGCTTAGTTCAGGGCCCTCAAGTGAAGAATCAGATTCTTCATAGACGCGGGTCGTGGTTTTTTCAGGGCAGAACTTGGGGAGACACGATGGATGAGACAATGCTATCATCCATCAAAGCATCTGATCCGCATCTACTTGGAATGCAGCCCCGAAGGTGGCCCAGCTGTGTCCCACCAAACGATGACTGTTGTCTGGCAGGTCATGCAGCCGAAAGATGAAAGTAAGAGCAGGTTGGATAGTTTTCTCGTTAGAGCCACAGTGACCTTGGTTGATGTCATTAGAGAATTAAGTTCGCTTCCAGTCTCCTCTCTGCAAAGGTCATTCACAGACTCCTTGTTCCTTTAGCCAGAGACCCAGGGGTCGGGTCCCTTGACTTCTGATTCCACCGACCTACCTCGGGGTTCCTGCTCTCTCTACCTCTCCGTCTACACACCACTCATGCCCCTTACGATCTGCTCACACTTCAGTTGTCAGCCATAGACCACTATATTGGAAGAAAATCCAAACTCTGTGTTGTAGCCTCTCATTCCTGTAGGACCTGGTCTTACCTTCCTTCCTGTCTGATCTCCTGCTGGCCCTTCCATGTTCTTCCCACACTCGGCTCTAGCCCACAGCCCCCTTGGGAATTCTCAACCATGCAAGCTTCCTTCACCTCGGCAGATGCCATTCCACCATTCCACACACGGTCCTTACAAAACTCAACCCACTCCCAGCCAGCTGATTCGGACTCAGAGTAGTCGGACAGGCCAGGGCGGAGGGTAGAACCGACGTCGTGCGATTCTGAGGCTGCAGCCTTCCTGGGAGCAGGAGGTCTTGTCTTTCTCTCAAGGAGCGAATAGTGGGTTCTACCTGCTGAGCTTTCTGCTGGCAGCTGAAACCCGCTCACCACCAGGGCTCCTGAAACGCTGAGCTCGGTGCCCAATCTCAGTCACCGGGGCTCACTTTTCTGAAGTCCTTGTTTGGCAATCCTAAGGAGCTTCCCATGTTCCGCTCTCTCTGCCCCCTGGCCATTCCTTCAAACCCCTTTCCCCAGGTTTCCGTTCATTACAGGTTTATACTTATTTGTTAGTTAGGTCTACTCCATTTAACTAGACATTTTCCATGAGGGCAGGGTCTTGTCTTTTCTGTTCACCATTATATGCTCTGAACTCAGTACAGTGCCTGGGCCTCTTAAACTATTATTATTTAAAAATGTATTGTTAATTGGGAGTTAATACATATATCATTCCACAGTTCCATCACATCAAGCGTTATCGTACAATTGCCGCCCCAATCAGTTTCCAAACCTTCCCTTTCTTCCTGGACTCCTTGACATCATCTCCCTTCTTAAAATATTCTTATTCAGAAGATAAATGTTGATTTCAAGGAGGGTTCAGAGCTCTCTCATCCTCCTAGAATCAAAGCCCCTTCTCTGGGATCTAAAGTCCTCCTGGGAAGGCTGATTTCTCCAAGGGGTTCTCAGGTGGGTCGCCAGATAAAGGCTAATGTGAAAATAGAATCAAGGGCACCAAGAAGCCTGGGGCCTTGACCACTGACTTGAGGAGGAAGCCACTGGAAGCACGAGGATTTCTGTTTTCTGATCATCCAGTAAGAGCATATGCAATAGGGACTCGCGAGTTCCACCACTCGGGCTCTGATCTATCCGGTGATGGAGAACCAGGCCCTCTTCCAGAGTGACAAGGGATCAAGAGGGGCAGTGATGGCACCCTGCAGAACAGAGTCAACCCTCAGGGTGATTGCAAATGTCAATACCCTTAGGCAGAAAAAATGCGACTCATCTCTGGCTCTGGCGCCCTTGAGGACAAACGGACGAGTTTGGGTTTGGCTACACTCATCTGCGGCTGTTCTCGGGTCACGGCTGGCTCTGGAAATCTGCAGTGTTTCCTCTGGGGCTCGTTGTAGAACAGGGATGCAGAGCATCTGGTAGAACAGCTGCGGCTTCAACATGTGATTGGAGCCTGGGACATTATACCTCCACCCTCGTGGGTCTTGACCTCCAACCAGTTGGGAACATAACCGGCATGAAAGAGCATGCGCCGGACCTGCGGGTCCAGTCACCCTGGGAAAGAACCTCGCTCTCTGAGCATCTGCGCTTGACCTAGTCTGGCATTCCAGTTAGCTTCCCGCATCCTGCTCCAGCGAGTGCTACCCCATCAGGGAGGAGGGAAGGCACACAGAGCCCTGTCTACCAAGCCCCTTGCATCCACAGAAGCATCCAACGAGAGGCAGCATTCCCATTCCCACAGAGCTTACCGCTCCTCATTGGCACCCAGGGCAGGTATGTTACACTGCCGTTACTAACAGGGACTCGCATGTCAAACACAAGCGACAACATTGCTATATGGGAGGAGAAACATGCCTTTTTTTTTTTTTTTTAAGTAAAAACAATGCTATAGAAGGGTTATTCCCCAAACTCGAATGGACTCCCAGCAAACCCCAAAAGCTACAATTGTTTTATGGAGGTCGGGTCTATGAAAGCAATTTTGAAAGGCACAAGGAGCCCTCCTTTCATGACAGAGTGCTGGCTCCCTCGACTGTCGTGCAGGACCCATGTGTCCGTCCCCAGAGCCCGACATTCCTCACTAGGTAGGGCTGCTGATGAGTCGGCATTTTGGTAATTGTCCACATACACTCGGAGCAAGAGAAATGGAAATACTTTTCATAAAAAAGAGAAGAAATCAGTAACAGACGAGTGCCAGCAGCATGGCAAACTCGTTCAAGTTGTCTAATTCCCCCTGGCATTTCCTAAGAGCACAGAGGCACAGCTTGGGGCGGGGGAGTGAGGAGAAAAGCATGTTCGGTGCAAAGCGGCCTGAAAAGAAGAGAGATACAAAACCAGCAATGGATGTGTAAAGTGGGCCCACAGACCTGCCCACAGGAGCGTCGCCTCATGGTCAGAGGAGCCCTTACCCCCTTGGGTTCTTTTATCAGACCCTCAAGCTGGCTCTGATGAGACTGGGGATGAGAGCGGGGTGTTCTGCCCCACAGCCTCCCGGGCAACGGGGAGCTGTGGGGAACCTCATTCTTGCAGCTGCTGCTGGGGTCAGTCTGCACGGGATACTTTCCCTAGTTGGCCACAGGGGAAGTTGCTAAGGCTGAGGTTGAGAAGACATTGGGGTACAATTTTGTGTGTGTGTGTGTATGTGTAAGTAGATTTCACATTGTCCTTGGAACCGGACGGGGTCTCCTCTCACTGTGCCCTAATAGGAAGGAACTCTGAAAACCTATTTACAGATGTGTAGACTCTTGCTTCCCTTGTGCTCCTGTGCCCACGGAGCCTTCGCCATTCTTTCCGGAGAGGAGGACCCAAGTTACAGAAGTTGAATGCCCCATCTCCCTCCTTGGTCTGAGGATTTGAGGGGAAAGTGGGGTCCGGTGGCTGTCTGCTCACATCTTTGGAAGCATCAGTGAGGGAAGAGGGGCACAGCCCACTTTGGTCACGGTCGTGATGTCACGGGCCATCTGTACTTTCCAAACTGGATGGGAGAGCTTAATTACACGGGCTCGAGAACAAACTCGTATTGTTAAAATTCATCATTCCAGGGTAATATTTAACATCACACAACCAAATGCTCCCTGTGAAAGCTCTGTTCAGGCTACCATCTGAATTCTGCAAGTCGGCCCGAGTCAGGGGCCCAGATGAGCTCACTCAGGTTTCAGGGAGCTCTAATGGGTCCCAAATGTTTTCGATAAAAGAGCCAGCCCAAAGGAATATTTCCCCTTACCCTATTGCACAGAGCCCAAAGATTATTTTAGGGCATCCCTTCATCTTCTGGGAGAAAACGATCCCCAGGGATCCATCCGCAAGTCCATCACAGAGGGGCTACCGAGCACTGAACAACACTGGGCTTGGTGGCCGTTTCCTGCACTGTGCCTTGTCCATGCCCAGGCCTCTCCGTTAGCAGTGAGCAGCTTTAACCACTGCAGCTCCAGTGCGGAATGCCAAAGTCTCTCCCAGCTTTGGAGAAGAAAGGGGGAGTGGCTATGGGGGAGGGAGAGGGATGATAGCTGCCACTTCCCTTTCCTTGGACCAATCAGAAGTGTCCCTTGAGAGAATGCACCTTAAAGATGGCAAAGGACACCACCCTCTACAGGTACCCCTCGGGAGGCAGATGTGGCAGTCGGCTTCCATGCCGACGCACAGCTCTGGAAAGCACCCAGAGCTGTTCTGACGCACAGCTCTGGAAAGCACCCAGAGCTGTTCTGCTCCGTCCAACCGGAGCTCTGTGCATCGGCGTCGACTCTATAGCCATGGCTGTGATTTCAGTTTGGGTCTACATGTAATTCACAAGCCACTCCCTCATCCCAAACTAAAGCTGAAAGAGACAGAGGCCCCCCTCCCCACCCATGGATATCGACGGTGCAAAGACTGATGGCTGGCCGTAACCTAGTGGAAACACCATACTCGGCAGAACGCTGCTTCCAAAATGCAAATTCCTCTAGGGGCCACAAAGTACCTACATTCAGAAGGGCAGCGGGCTTCCCCAAGCAATCAGAAAGCAGCCTCTCACAGTCTTGGATTCCAGTCCCAGGCTCCGGGCTTTCAATTCTCCACACCTGTTTCTTCCCTTCCTGCTTTCCCACAATAAGTCTTGTCGAACTCATGGGAGGGTGGGACTCCAATGAACCGAGGACAAAGACAGCGTTCTCTTTCAGCCTACAGGTCCTTTCAGTTTCTTGGGCTGATCTTTTCCCTTGGGTAAGGTGGGGGCAAGACCGAACAAGGTTGTGGTTGTGGGTTTCTGTGAGTTGTTGTCAAGCTGATGCCGACTCACAGCAACTTAGGTGTGCACAGTAGAACTGTTTCATAGAGGGGAGTTTTTTTTTCTGGGTGTGTGTGAGCATTTAATTAAGTAATTTTTGATACTTGATAGGGTTTTCAAACGAGCCCTGGAGGTGCCATAAGTTCAGCCTTGGACTGCTAACTGCAAGGTTCAGTGGTTCAAATCTATCAGCCCCTTCTTGGGAGAGCGCGGAGGCTGTCTGCTCCTGTCAACACTGATAGTCTTGGATTCTAGGGAGTTCTGCTCTGTCCTAGAAGGTGGCTAGGGGTCAGAATCACCGATGGCAGTGGGTCTCGGGTCACAGGCATTTCAAGGCTGTGATTTTTTCAAAAACAGAACACTAGACCTGTCTTCTGAGTGGGTTTGAACTGCCAACCTTTTGGCTAGCAGTTGGGTGTTTGTTGGTCACCACCCAAACCAAAATATACATGCACTATATAGTATCTGGTGTGCCATTAGAAATGGGGTCAGGGGTGTCAAGGAGCTCGACAAGAACTTCTTATTTCTAGCGATATGGAGCAGAAAGCCAGAGCCACAGTGGTGATGCCGTGGCACTGGTCCTGCAGTGGCACTGGTCCTGCAGGTGTCACCCGACTGCTGGCAAGCCTTGGCGGTTGGCTAATGATAGAGACCAGACCAAGGAAGGCATTGTTCCTGCCTGTCTTTCCTGCACCTACAGAGTGAAGGCAAGAGTCAGGCCAAGCTGGCTCCGCTCTTATTAGCTCATAATCAGCTCTGATGAATGAGCTGTGCTTTTTGCATCAGGTTGCTAACCAACGGCAAGGTTGGTAGTGTGAAACCGCTAGCCACTCCTCAGGAGCAAGATGCGGGCTTCTACTGCTCTGCAGAATCACAGTCTCGGAAACGCACAGGAGGGCGGGTCTACTCTGTCCCTGTAGGGTCACTGGGAGCTGGAATCGACTCGATGGCAGTGAGCTTGGTGCGTACCTGGGAAACTGCAATTCTCTAGGTGGCCTGGTGAGCTACAGGTGAATTGGTCTTCTGAGTCAAAAGCGGGCACCTTGACTTTTCGGCTGGATTCCCACAGTTCACTCCTGGCATTCATCAGGAGGCAGGGGCATGTGACAGGATCTGGACGCGCCATGGTGTGGCCATTTCTGATTCTGTCGGCAGGCAGGGGTAGATGGTTTAGCTGCTGAGGGCCCCAGATTGGCATCTTGCTCTGGCTTGACTGTTTCTGTAGCCAAAGGCATGCGCACTCACGAAGTGAGGACAATTGTATTTCTTGGTGGAAAACCGCCATCAAGGGAGAGAGCAAACTTCAGAGATATCGGACACAGTGGTTACCTTGTCTTGTATAGATCAACATGGGAACCAGCTGGGGTTTGATGGGAAAACTTTATTGGGGAGCCAGCAGGAGCCCGCATCTATACTTCTGAATATGAGGTCTCAAGACAGAGCCCCTTTGAAGGTTGAGGGTCAACGGCAGACTGGGAAAGACTGCGGAATCCAGGCGAGGCAGCCCCTGACGGCACTGCCTCCTGTCACCCTCGTTCACAAGTTCGCTGCCTTCGACAGGGGGCAGCCTGAGCACTTCTCTCTCGCTGTCCGTCTCTGGCAGGTTCCTGCCTGGCACAGGTGCTGCCCTCGGCTGGCTTGACTATCTAACTGGATTCCTAGTGACTAAGGGCAAGGCAGGATCTCAGAGCCATTCCCTGGTATCAGGATAAGTGACCCAGATGTATTACCCACTGCCATTGAGTCGGTTCCACCGTGTAGCAGCCCTATATGACCGAGTTCCCGAGGCGGTCCATCTTTACGGGCGCAGACAGCCCCAGCTTTCTCCTGCGGAGCGGCCCAGGGGCTCAAGAGGTTCGCATCACCAAGCATTTGGTTAGCAGCCCAGCACCAACCCCCCAGTGCCAAGCATGGCTCTTGAATCAGATGTATAAAGGGAAGCGGACATTAAGGCCGTGTTCCAAGTGCAGGACAGTTTAAAAGACATACATTCTTGGTCTGGTTGTTACTTGCCTTGTGAGCCTAAAAGATCGACGTCTGTAGACAAAAACAATAAAGAGAGTTAACGGACTGGTCAGCTCCATCCCATTCTACGCAGTCATTGAGTCCAGCGCGTCGCTCTCTCAGGAGCCGCTCTGCCCCCGCGGGGGGGAAAAAAATTTCGTAACTTCCGTTTCATAAACCAGAATGATTACACCTAATGAGCAGGTGCTTTGATTTTTAATGTTTGGATTTTACATAGCGCATCCTTTGGGTGAGCAGAGCCAGAGAGAACGATACTGGTCACGAAGTACTCTGACTTGGAAGGTGTGGGTGGGGGTCAGAGCAGAGACCCGATGGGAGGGAAAGTTGGCGGGGGAATTCGGCATCATATCTTCTGTTCTTGTGTTTTTTACCTGCCCCACCCACTGTCCCCCCCCTCTCCAATGTGCAGATACAGATGCATTTAGTTTCGGCCACATGCCCCCCCCACCCCCATGTGCAGACACAGATGCATTTCTGGGAGCTAGTTTTACACACGACGCCACTGGACCAGCACCACCAGGGCTGTGGGTGCAAAGGTGCCGTGCCCCAGCCACAGGGGTGTCTACTGGAGAGACTGGTCTTCATGCAGGACAGTGACACACGCCAAAGGCCCCCCTCGCGCCCCCCATAAGCCCACTGGCTCTTGGGAGACCGGAGACACCATGCATGATTACCTGGCGAGCCTGCCAGAGACTCCCCTCTGCTGAAGGCGAAGGTACGAGACACAGAGACGGGCACTAAAGGGCCAGGGGCCAAGGATTTGTGAAGCGCCCGGGGGAAGATAAACACAAAAGGAGAGAGACAAAGAGCAAAGTAGGTGAGATGGTGGGTCCTGGAGCTGCCCAACATTCCAGTTCTCTGCCAGGAAAGGAGCCTGCCTCCGGGAGTGTGGGCGGGGCGCCTTCTTCCTCAGCACTTTCCAGAAAGTCAAGGGAACAAACTGGGTGTGGCCCCACTTCTTCTGGAAAGACATACCATGCTCTTACAGGGCATCCGAGATGCCAGGGACAAGAACAGGCAGTGCCCAGTGGGCAGCACGTGCAGGCAGCATCCTCTTAAGCCAGCAAACGTACTGGTGGCTCAGTGCTGCATTGGCACCAGGCTCTCGCAGCTGCCCCATGTCCTGTTCACCTGTGGAAAGGCACCAGCATGGGCATTCAGAGTCCTGGCAACAAAGGGCATGCTTTCTTTACAGACATCCTTGGGGGCAGATGGATCCTGCCTTGGACTCTTTGGCGTGTCCTCTGTGGGCACACGGTTGGTGAGGACCTCACTCTGTTTGGCTAGAGGGCTCCGCCCAAAGCTGTGTATCAGCTTCGTACTTTGAATCAACGCAATGAATTCAAATCTAGACACTTCTTGGCAAGCACATGTACTCTCAAGCATCGTCCCTCTTTCGGTCTCCCTTGTTCGTCTCTCTCTTTCCCCACAGGGTTTAAAGTGGTGGTGGCTGCCCTTATGGGGTCTGGGTGGGGTAGAACATGGTGCCGCCGCCCAATTCATTGCCCACCTTGACCCTGACCAAGTCACTCTTCTGGGCGGGAATCTGCCTCCATCTTCCTCCTCTGACTGTTCCCTGAACTCCAGTTAAGGAACTAGGGTGAAGCTAGCCTTCAGGGGACTCACATGCAGCAATAGGCCACATCTACCATCTTTATTGGCTGAATGGGATGGTTTGATCTGAAACGACCCATATGTGCAACGGATGGGCAGCAGAGGGGAAGAGGGCTTTATATCTAGCTGATACCATTTACTCTGATAAGAGGTGTTAAGGAATATTTGAATGGGCCCCCAACATGGCGTGACACACTGGAGTAAGGAAACCCAATCTTAAGAATGACTATGGCTCTTCGTGGGCTGCAGAAGTGAATGCACATGTTGTCACCCAGGTAGGATAGTTGTCTCCCTGCCTGCACACCACGTGTGCATCCGTTCTAGCTAGGTTGAGCTCTCCCAAAGTTCTGCTAGGGAGCTGGGCTCACCATGATCCTCCTGGGAGAGTTGGCTACTGTTGAGAGGCTAAAGGAGGAAGAAGCTCCCTTCATCTTGTACTGGGAAATCAGAGAGACTTCCTTATCAACCTCAAGTCCTTCTTTGAGAGAGAGGCCATTCTTTACCCTTAAAGGGGGATCAAGTTCAGGCTGGCTGTAAAGACCAGGCTTGTTCACTAGGCCAAGGACCTACAAGGGTTCACTGCCCAATGGCTCAGTCTTCAGAGCTTCCTGCTCCCGGTTCTTGATCCGTAAGGGTACTGGAAGGCTGGACCCCAAGCAGAGCATCCAGCTGCCACAACTGTAGGCTACGGCCACCCATTACAGCTAGTTCACACTTCTGTCTGCTCAGTGTGTGTGTGTGCGTGCGTGTAGAGTTTAGTGTAAGGATGAACACACGTCTCTTCAACTCACTGGGCTAACTCGCTTTCTTTTTTCTCTTTAAGATTTATAAAGATACTCAGAAGCATCACCAGCTTCTGTCTAGTTAACCAGGTCCAGAGAAGAGATCAGTGTTGCAAGTTTATTCCTGCCTCACTGATGAAATGGAAAGACTTTGACCCAAACGACGAGAGACAGGAAGGAAGTCACATTTGCAGGGGCCATTCTTTATCCGCCTTTTATTTCTTGATTGTAAATCAAAAGACGGTCATGATCTAGACTGGGAAGGCGGGGGGCCTTCTGCAGCACTCGTTTCTCAGGGTGCCCACCTCTTTGGGTGTTTAGGGGCAGAGAGAACAGGACCAAGGTTCATTCGATTCCTGGATGTTACTCGACCTTGAGGGCGCGCCTCTCCAAAGGCAGCCTGGACTCCCTCAGAGACGCTGACTGTGAGGGAGGGAGGGGATCTCTGAGTAGCGAGGCGGAGGCCAACCCTCACAGCGCAGCCACGGTCTTAGACTGAGTACCGACACTGCCGTCATTTCAACCCCTCTGGAACCCTGGTGGACACGCGCTCGCTTGCATGATCCCATCGTACAGAGCTAATCCCACTGAAGTGCTTCCGTGTTTCTCAGTGCGGGCAGGTCCATGGATTGGGTCCCACTGGGCAAGGATGTGGTGTGACAGGAGGAATTGCTCCAACCTTCCCACTGAGAGATTCCATTCTGGAATCTGGTGGATTGAAAACTCTCTCTCTCTCTCTGTGAATTCATTGGGACCCTGAGGCGCAGCTAGGTCACTAACTAGCTGGCTGATCGGAAGCAACGTATTTCTTCAGTTTCTTGGTGTTCCCATATACCATGGACTGAGAGAACACGCTTTGGGACCCTCTGATCAATGCCAACAGAAAGCACTACGTAAAAATAAACAAAAAATTTTTTGATGAAAGAAAACACCCCAGGTCGTATTAAAATGAGTGTGGCAACATTAGGAAGGCGCAGTTGATAGCAAAGGAAACTCCACCCCCAGGGACTGAGCCAGAACGCTAGAGAAATCCTTCTCTCTGGATCGCACGTACTGCACAATCCATGCCATGCTCTCTGACCATGCCCCCCACTCCCCCAGACAAGTGCAAGAATCCACCGAGGAAGCAGTCAGACGGCTCAGCACAGAGAGGACCAAGCGGATCAGCCCCCAGCCCCACTGTCATCATGCGTGGTTGGCTCACAGACACCTCGCTGCCAGCTGCCACCCTGGCAAACAAGGGAAGAGAAGCAGAGAAGCAGGGTATCGCACCAGCGTGGGATCGACACCCCAAGATCCCGCAGTCGACTCTTACGGAGGGCAATGCTCCCCAACACACACACACACACACACACACACACACACACACACACACACACGATGGCTTCCACAAGTAAAGGCCAGTTGGAGAACTGTCAGAGTGGAGATGGGAAGGGTCAACCTCGACCAAGGCCCACACCTCCCCTGCTGGCACATCCCCTGGCAGGTGGTAGGAATCGGTGGCCCACCCGCACAGAGAAGCCAAGAAGCAGCAGAGGTCATTGCACACACACAGGCACGAAGCCCCCATGGCCTGTGGGTACCTGGCAGGAAGCAGTGTTCCTGGCACAGCGCCACCAAGAGGCCGCCAGTTTTTAGGGTTGCCCCAGCCCTGGCTCAGAGTGCCGGGTCCAGATGCTGAGATGGGACTATGGTGGGGAGCACGAGGAAGGGGTTTGTGGGATACATACGAAAGATGGAGGATCCCGCCAGACTTCCGACCTTCCGCACGTCGTTATCTGAGGACAGAGGGAGGCAGTGGGTTTCAGAGGCAACACAGCCAACACACCTTCTTCCAGGAGTGCCCTCCTCTCCCACCCCGTCCCTAGTCCCACCCAGCCTTATAAACGGCAGGCCATCGACTGGAAGGGACGAACCCGAATATAAAAAGCACAATAAACTCCTCTGTGCGTCCTGAAAAATACCATTACCCATCCTTCACATTTGACAGCAACGCCTCCTACCCTCTACATCCACAAACACGCCGTGGATAAAAAAGCGATTTGGCCCCATTTTTGCAGAGGATGACACGGAAGCTCAGCAGTTTAAACGGCCCACCCCAGGTCACATGCTTGTCCTGCAGTGGCCCCCTCGGATCCCCAGGGAGCTCTGGTCTGCCGTGGGAATACCTGAGCAAGCAGTGGTCACGATGGCTGGGACACCGTAGTAGGTAAAGGCTCCATTCTCGAAGCGCAGGCCCTCCTTGCCAACCTCCACCTCCACTTTACCCTGGAGAGAGAGGGACGCACAAGCACGTCTAGTGATATGATTTATTAGTACTTAAAAACATCATTTTACTGAGGCTTGTACAGCTCTTACCACCATCCATCCATCCATCCATCCATCCATTGTATCAAGCACATGTGTACATTTGTTGCCATCATCATTTTCAAAACATTTTCTTTTTACTTGAGCCCTTGGTATCAGCTCCTCATTTCCCCCCTCCTTTCTCCCTCCCTCTCAAATCCTTGATAATTTATAAATTATTATTTTTTCATGTCTTACACTGACCGATGTCTCCCTTATGATTTATTATTTTCTAAAACATGCTGGCAGCCCTATTTACATGCAATTCACTCATCATAAAACTCAATGGTTACACCGTACTGTGGAGAGTCACGCGGCCCTCACCGCCATCTATTTTAGAACGCCGCTCTATGACGGACAGTACCCTGATCATATCTGCCTCGATGACAAAGGGATGAAGTCCTTATCACAGGAGGGCATGACTTCTGTCCACAGGCGTCTTCCAGAAACAACGCCTTCGCAGCATCGGTTAGCTCGGAAGGCCTCATCCAGCCATACATACGATAAGCACTTTCTGCACCCTCGAACAGCCTTCCCAGGAGAGAGGACAGTTGGCTAAGCCTGGGCTCCAGCCTGGGGTCCTCAGGCTGGTGGAGACGAAAGGGAACCGGTGAAGCTGTTTCCTTCATCACCAGCAATAATGAAGCCAGGAGGCGCAGGTGGGCAGCATTGAGTGCAAAGCGAGTGAGGCACAGCCCCGCCCCTCCTCAGCCTGCAGAGGCCCTGGTTGGCCCTCAGAGCCCCACCTAACGGCCCCTACCTGCAGGAGCAGCACGAAGTAGTCCACCGGGCGGTTACGCTGATACAGGTAGTGCTCCGGAGCCTTCTTGTTCTTCTCGTCAAACTTCAGCTCCTGGATCACGTGCGGATGTTTCAAGAGCCGGAGCAGGATCTTCTCCGAAAGGTACAGAGACTTAAAGGGCTCCACTTCTAGGGGAGAGGGGGAGGCAAGCACCGTCTGGGTCCGGCCCGCGCCAATGTGGCAGCTGGGAAGACCCAGATTGCCCGGGCACAACCACCCCTCTACGTGCTCCTGGGGCACCAAGCGGACAGGGCTTCTGTGACCAACCAGGGTGGGGCATTGGAAACCCTAGTGTGTAACTGAGGGCCTTCCCTGTGCCTCCAGGGGGATGTGTCCCCACACTGCCGCCTCGGGAGAAGCAGTGCCCACTTGGGTAGCGTCGGCTTCATCATTGCTTTTCTCTCTCAGTTTAGTTCAAGGTGGGCATGGGTCACTCAGCTCTCTGGGCAAGGAGGCGCTTACTGCTGTTAAAATTTACAAGCCACTTGGTCTGGCTTGTTTATGTGACATATTTCCGTGGAATGACATGAAACCCCATGTGCGTAGCGACAGTTCCTTACTTAAGTCGTGGCTGTCAATTATGTGCAGCACATAATTGTATCATGTAACACCTACATGGTGGTATCGTGTAACGTGCCATCAGATATCCCATCATACGAATGTTAACGAGTTGCATGCTCTCTATCAGTGTGTCCCGCAGCGGAAGATACCTCCCAGGGGTGGGGGGCACTTGGATGATCCAGAGGGGCTTTAAGAGCAGATACCTACGCTTCATCCTGGATCGTGGGCTATGCAACACGTTTTTCATGGGTGGGGGTGGGGGTGGGGAGCACTGACTAATTTTGTGTGTGTGTGAGAAGGGGGTGGTAGGCTGAGAACGTTTGGGAACCTATGTTCTATCTTATATTACGTTACATTATATATTAATAGATACAGCAGCTTTCCTCTGGAAAATTTGATAGCCAATAGTTAAAACCGCAACAACAACACGGTGTGTAGAACACAGTGAAAACCCTGCTTTCAAGAGGGTCCCGTTAACATCCTTCAACTCTGCCACCCCGGGAACCGAGCTCGCATTTCTCAGGTACTCACTATTAACATTGGATGGAACTGACTGGGTGGCACGGGGTTTTCTTAATGACTTGCCTGTGGAGCACTAGTATGAGGGACTGAATATCCACATGGCATTGAACGGCGGCACGATCGATTAGGCCAGCCCCTCCGTCAGGCATGGGTAAGAGGAGGGAATATCCACAGACAAATGTTATCGGAGTGGTTTCTCTTGGGACCCCCTCTCCTGTATCTTAGACACTAGCTCACACACGGCCCCTGGTGGGCATGAGACCCCAGGGCCTTGTTGTTGGGTTGGACGATGCCTGCTTCCCCCCACATTGACTCCAGGACAGGGGCCACCCTCCGGCTCCAGCCAGGATGAGCAGAGGAAGGTAAATGGACTACAGAGGTCTGTGTAGCTCTTGCCCAGAGTGGGAGAGAGAAAGGCAGAGTGAGCCGGCCTCCCTAGGAGATCAAGAGCATGTGGCATCCCAGAACAGCCGTGCTCAGTCCTGGCTGCTCAAGGCAATTAGCTGATTCAGAGTGATTGGTGTCTGGGTCCCACCTGATGATTCTGCCGTGCGTGATCTGGGAGGGATGGAGCCGAGTACCCTGAGTGCCTTGAATGAACACAGCCAGGAGTGAGAAACTCCTGGAAGAACTGGAAAGCAACACGAGAGCCGCCTGCTGGCAGACACAGGTGGGCAGCGTCCTACCTGTAGCCATGAAGCGGTGTGTGGCCAGCAGGAGCTGCGGCGAGATCTTCACCCTCATCTCGGAGTCCGAGAGCTTGAACAAGGAGAAGTCGTGCCGCTTCCTCTCCCGGTGGGGGACCCTCTGCTTCTTGCGGTTGTCGGCTGCAGGATCACAAGGGACAGAAGGCAGCTGTCTCAGAGGCTAGCTCAGCATTACCGGTCTTTGAAGGTTTTCCCGGAGTCACACTGGGCCCAGGCCTCCTTTTGGACCACGTGGATTTCTGCAAATCTCAACTTTAGGTGACATTACATCTCCTTCCCAGAGAGCAGCAGGATGTTGAAAGGACTCGAGGGTGGGCGATCAGCTATAACGGTCTCAGTGTTACTTCCACTGAAACAGATAGTGGGAAAGGGCACACCCAAGACCAGGTGTTGAGACTATGAAGAGAGAAGGGGTGGAGTTCAGCCTGTCAATCAGGTCACAGCTAGATGACCACATTTGGAGGTGCTAAGGAAATAAATAGCTTGCTGGAGGGGGGACACACACTTCCTGGGAGACATTCCTGCTGATGAGACACACGGAGCTATGCTAGTGCCCTGGAGCTGAAGAAGCCATGAGGGATGCTCACGGTGCCACTGGATCCACAAGACTTTCCACCCACTGGCCTGTGATCTTCCTCCACTGGCAACATTGCATGGCTGTGTGAGTCTAAAAAGGAATTTATGGACTAGTATCGACATATGGGATAATATCAGACTTATGGACTTGATCTGGACTGGGCTGGGATGTTTTCTCAATGTACAATTACTTTTTATATAAAGGTCTTTCCTCTACACACTTTGCTCCTGGAGGGTGAGGGGCGAGGGGGTGAAAGGAACAGGGACACGAGGCGGCCACCCAGGCCGGTGCTTAAAAAGCCCTTTGGGTGTTGCACTTAGGTTGTGAGGTGGGCGAGCTCCCCGACACTCTCCACTGCACCCTGATGTTTTGGGGTGAGAGGCTGGGCAGTGGAATCCCAGGTATTGCAGGGATCTGGGTGGGCAATGAGACAAAACAAGGGCAACACGAGGGAACAGACACCAGGACAGAGAGAGAGGCCGCTAGGCACTCTCTGAGGTGTCCTTTGTGTCTGTCTCTCGGTCCTGGATCCATCTAAGGGCCAAAGTGCAAACAAGCAAAGCCATTGCCGCTGAGGCAGTTCTGACTCATGGCAAGCCTCGGTGTACAGAGCAGTGCTGGGCTCTGGGTGGTTTCCTATGGCTGTGCGCGTTCTGAACGCAGACCGCCAGGCCTGGCTCTCCTGGGGCTGATGCGTAGGTGGGTTCCGGCTGCCAATCCTGAGGTTAGCAGTCCAGGGCAAACCATTCGTGCACGCGCTCCCAGGGACTCACTGCCAGCGTAACGACCGAGCAGCGGGACCGAGCAGCGCTGCCACGGCGGATTTCCGAGGCTGTCAATCTTTACAGGAGCAGAAAGCCTCATCTTCCTCCTGAGGAGTGGCTGGTGGGTTCCGAACTGCTGGCAAAAGGTGGCTGACCCAACGCAGTACCTGGGGCTGCCCCTGGCGCTCTTTCACAGGCGTCTCTGCGCGTGCCGCAGGAAGGCCGGGTGGCGGCGACGCCTGCGCACTTACTGTAGAGGTCCGTCTCGTCCAGGATTTCCGACTTGATGATCTCCTCTATGATGTCCTCCAGGGTGACGATGCCCATCACCTCGTAGAAGGGGTCCCCTTCTCCCTCGTTGTTCACCCGCTGGACAATGGCCAGGTGAGACTTTCCTAGAGGGGAAATTCAATCAGTTGCACATCCGGGCCCTTTCTCAGACAGCTTCCCTTAGGGGAGAATCCGCTGAGGCTACTGTCCTATCAGGACCAGACGCTTCTGGGCCAGCCTTCAAATACCCAATTTGTGTGCCAACTCTTTTAATTGCCAGTCGTATACTTTTACAATCTCTCGTCTCTCTTAGCAAAGTTACTGGCTCCATCCACCACAGTCACCCGCTCCTTTTCTTTGAATTTTCGCATGTGAGCATGTGTGTCTTAGCAATAGGAGGCTGAAAAATCTTAATGAAAAAACTAGAATGTGGAGTCAGAGAACTGGGTGAGCAGCAAACCCCCCCTCCCCAAACACACAAACACAATCACAGTTACTCTCTGTGCAACTAACAGGTGCAAATCATTACACCTTGAGCGAGTCTGTTTTCTCATCCAGAATTGGGAAGGGATGTCAGTATGGTGATTTTAAAACGTCCCCAGACTCTTTACTGGTCCTTCCACAGAGACATATGGTCTCTATCCCCCCCCTCGCCCCCCTTTGAGTCTGGGTGGATCCAGTAGAGAACGGGGGGTGGGGGGGTGGGGGACTTGGCTGTTAGGTGACTTCTGAGGCTGGGTCCCCGGAAACACTGAGAAGTCCCATGACAACTGAGGCTGCAAGTGCTTACGTCTGCAGTCTGCCAGCGAACCCACCAAAATGCCAGGCAGCCTGGCACAGTCGCTACCTTGGAAGGGGCTCCACTCAACCCAGCAGATCCAGCCCCACCCTTCCAAGTCACCTCCAGCTACAGGACCCTGGCACCCGAAGACGCAGAGACGAGCCATTCCCACAGTGCTGCCGGGCCCAGGGGCACAATAAAGGGCCGCAGCTTCATGCTCTATGGTTGGGACTGGGCTGCTAGCAGCAATGGTAATGAGCACAACCACTCCTCATAACCACGACGCTCATGGTCTAAGGCACACGTGAAAGAGTTTGCAAGCTAGAAAGGTAGATTTGTTATTTAATTTATATTTATTTTGTTTTTAGGTGGTAATAATCATAAGAGCTAATGTTTACAGAGCAAGTCCTGGTTTAAGCGCGCTTAGCACGTGTTCAAGGAGTCCTTGGTGGCCTGTGGGTTAAGGCGCTGAACTGTTACTAGCAAGGTCACTGGCTGCATCTCAGAAGATGAGGCGATCTAGATTTATTCTTGTAGATTTACACAGCCCCGGGCACCCGACACAGCAGCGGTTCTCAACCTGTGGGTTGCAACCCCTTTGGGGGCCCAACGACCCTTTCACAGGGGTTGCCCGATTCATAACAGTAGCCAAATTCCAGTGATGAAGTAGCAACAAAAATTTTATGGTTGGGGGGGTCACCGCCACATGAGGAACTGTATTAAAGGGTTGTGGCATTGGGTAGGTTGAGAACCAGTGCTCTAGAAGGTCTCTGTGAGTCGGCTGACTTGATAGCAGTGGGTTTTAATATGTATTAATTCATTCAATCCTCACAACAGCCCCTAGGGCAGGGCAAGTATTGTCTTCACTTTAGAGGTGCGCCTTCATGTCAGGCACTGTGTGATTAAGTAATGTGTTTAAAGTCCCACGGCCTGTAAGTAAGTGGCAGAGCTGGATCACGAACTAGGTAACTAGGTACAGCCCTAAGCTGGAGCCTAGTGTTGGATTACCCAATAAGCAAGGTAACTTGTGCTTACTAACTAATCTGGAGGAAAACATTTCACTTATTCTGCCTCTCAGATTAGTGAGCACCTGTCCCTCTCCCAACCTTCCTCCAGAATCAAAGCCTCTTTCCAAATTTATAATCCTTGGCAGGAACAAAGTACCCAGTAAGCATGGTACACTGACTGGCTTGTGCTTCCTTAGCAAGCTATTTGCTCACTACAGATTAACAAGTAAGTTTTGATTATTGGGTAACCCGCCCTGCTCGGGCCCTAAGTCTTCCTATACCGTGTGGCTTCACATGACTTTGGTTTATCATGTGCAGGTACACGTCCCAGTCCTGTTTCAAAGATGCTCGGGATGGGTGAGGTGGGTGCGGGGTGGCTCCTTGCCTTGTCTAGGAGACATTTAAGGAGAACATCTGGTGCATTGGCTTGGATGTTGCTCTTTCCAAAGGAAAATGAAGAGGCTCATGCTTCATTCGTGCTCCTTTGGGTCTAAGCTCTTGCTTGGCTTCTGTTACACTTGTACGCAACAACAGGAGCCGCCCGTTTGCTGGGACACCATTGCTCATTAACATTTAAACACACGAGCTGCTGGATCAAAGACCTCAAATCACCCCTTGTGATATTTTAACAGAGAAGATGGCATTAGTGACTCCTACTGCCCAAGACTGGCCTCTCAGTTCTTCCCCACCTTCATTCAACCTGCCCAACCCATTCCCCTTCTGATCCCATCATGCCCCTGCCTGGCCCCAAAGCCCCCCATGGCTCCCTAGGTCTCAGAACCAAGTCCAGACTCATTTGTGGGCACCATCAAGACTGCACAATGTGGCTCTTCCCAGTTTGCTCTGCTACATCCCGTGGTTGCTCTCCATTCCAGGAACACTGAGGAACCTCCGTTCCCCAACTTCCGGTTTCTTCCTTCTGGGTCTTTGCTCACACAGTTCCTCACCCCCCATCCCATCTCCCTGGGTCCATCAGGCTGCAGCTCTGGTGTGAATTCCTCAATTAAATCTTGATGCATCTGTCCCATTAAGAATCATTTTCCTCCGGCTTCAAGTCCTCAGTAACTCTTTCTTGTAACTCAGAGAGCCCTCCTTTAGACAAGGTTTCTTCCCTGTATCATAACCTTGTTTGGAACCAAAGATCATATACTTAACTAGGGCTCCCTCCACCCAACAGACAACCCAAACATGCTCGATGAACTGAGCTAAGCTGACACTGGGATGAAAATCCATTGTTGATTTAATACATGGTATTAAAACCAGACAGCAAAGTCTTTATTTTTGATAGAACACTTTGTGCTTCAATTAAAAATGTAAACTCTGCTATCAGTCGTTCCAAAATTAGCCTTCTTTGAAACAACTGCAGCCTTCCCAACTGGACAGGCATGTTTTGCAGTCCTAAGTAGATTGTGTCAATTATTAGAATGTATGCACTTAGAAGTTGTTTTTCGTTTGTTTTTTTCTTGAACACATTTTTCTTAAATTTAGTTACCTGCTCACTTTTCTGACATGTCAGCAAAATAAATAACCAGCACAATAGAAAGATTTGGAAAGGTGATTTCTAAAAATTGTGTTCTAGTTATATATGTTTGTGTGTGTGTGTGTGTGTGTGTATATGTGGGCAAAGTGGAGAGGAGCTTTTGTAGGATGCATGTTTTCTGCTAGGTGAGCATCGGGGAACTCACTCTGAGTGCACCCAGTGGCATCACCTGGGAAGGTTCTCTCTGGTCACAGTGAATTTTTTCACGAAAGCAGTTTCGCTCAAACCTCGTGTTTTTTTTGTTTTTTTTGTGATGGCTGATGTAAAAGAACAGTGTGCTGCTGTGAAAGTCTGTTTCCTGCTTAAGAGAAATGCTGCAGAAACTGTTGCGATGTTGAACACAGCTTACAAGGTCAGCGCTATGGGAAAATCTCAAGTGTATGAGTGGTTTTCTCATTTCAAAAAAGGTGAAATGTCAATTGATGACAAACCTCCTTCTGGACGTCAACTTCCCGAATGGATGAAAATGTTGACTCAGTGAATTTGGAGTTCGTTCCACCAAGTCAAACTGCTCATCAAGTTTTCTATTTAGAGGTTCTGAAAAGATTGTGTAAGGGTGTGCAACAAAAAGGCCTGATTTGTGGCATATAGGGGACTGGTTTTGCCACCACAACAATGTACCTGCTCATGCAGCCATCTCAGCATGCCTCTCTTGCCCTACGGCCCTTACTCACCTGACCTCGCTCTGTGCAGCCTCTTTTTGTTTTTGCAGATGAAGAGGGACATGAAAGGGCAGTGATTTGATTATGTAGAGGCGACGAAAAACAAACAAACAAGGGAGTGTTGTCAGCCATCCAAACAGATGAGTTTGAAAAAATGTTTCCAAGAATAGAAGCGCAGATTTGATATATGTATTAAGTGTAATGGGCAGTACTTAGAAGTTGCTAGGGTTGTTTTGTAAGAAAATTGAAATACATAGCTTTGGAGAAAAAAATTCTGTTTTTTGGGGCACCCCCCCACCCGCCACGAAGTTATATATATTAACATGAAGTTTAGAATACAAGGGAGCTTCAAAAAGTGTGTGGAAAATAGAACTAAAAGATAATGGAATTTTCCCACTAACTTTTAAAAACCTATTTGTACATATAGTACAGCCATATTTCCTACTATTAAGATTAGTTCATATGATGAAATCAGATAGATCAAAACTTTATGATGTTTTTCACAAGGAGTACCATAGCTTCCTGCAGGAGCAGTGACATTGAATGTGGCTCTTCCAAAATCTCAAACTCCCACCAAACGACCTCTCCCTGCACGGGTCTGGTAAGAAAGTGGAAGAAGAAGCTGATAGTGTTCACCTGTGAGTAACTGAGAACAAGATTCCCTGAAGCGGCATCCTGTTGTCTATTAAATGAGACCTCTGAGAAGCAGGAGGTGGGATCTCATTACCGGCAGGAGCCAGGAGTGGAGTGCATCTTCTAGACCATGATCGCTGTGCAGTGAACCTCCTGGATCCAGATGACAGCTAAACCATCAGTGGTGCAGCAGAACCAGGTGCCACAGCACAGAAGCGAGTGATGGGCTTCCACACCCAAGGACAAGTTAGGAGGAGTGCTTTTGTGCAGGAGGCTGGCTTGCAGAGTGGGGTGCCTCTGGCATCTTAATTGGTGAAGCTGGGCTTGTTTGACCTGGAAGTGGAGCTGGTGCCTTTGAGGCTTCCTGGAGTGGGGGGTACTCTGGGCACTTAATTCAGGGAGCTGGGTTTGCTGACCCACAGAGCTTGGGCTGAGTGACTTTGGGTTGTGGTTTCCAGCAGAGTGGCATGCCCCCTTCGGTCATGTATTAGCAGACCTGAAA